GATGCCCTCTGCCGGCAAGAAGAAAAATTTAGTAGGATTAGCTAGTTTCAAATAACAGCAAATATTATAAACTTCTATAAAGATATCTTTAAAGACTTAAAAGGCAAACACCAGTGTTGTTGTGTAGGTTATTTATTTATTTTTAATAATCAGCTTCAATGTGGGAGATATGGCAAAGTTCTTTTAAAATTAAAACTACTCCCATTTGTGTTAATAAACCTATATTTGAGGAAGTAAGGATTAAAGTTTCTTGATGGGATTTCCAGAAGCACTTGGTGTTTGCTTACCTCTCCTTCACTGGAGTCAATGGGAGAACTTCAGTTGGAGCAGAGTTAAGCCAATGCTGACTGCTTTTGAAAAATATCCCACTCTACAAAACCAAGGTATGCCGACTCAGCATCTCACATGCAAACCACTTGAATTCAAGTGGGAGGGCCTGCACCCCAACCCTCTGCCCCAGCCTGGAACCCCCTCTGACACTCCGAAACCCTCAGCCCCACCACACATCACCTCCATATTGGTGCATATAACAAAATTAATTCCACACATGCATGTAAAAAATTAGAGGGAACATTGGTCATGGGGTTAGGCAGGTCCATGGCATATGTGCTCTGCAGTCAGTCCTTCAAATGAATTGTAAATTCTTTTGTTTATACCTTCCCCGCTTCCATTGAATGTCCGATTAAACAGGTAATGGCTCCAACACTTTGCTGGTGAGCCAGTGTGCCTTTGTCTCTGAGAAATTGGCTAGTGGGTGTACCCAGAATTACAATACATTTCAGTAACAATCATACAGTAAATCTTATAACTCCATATACAATGTTGGTACACACATTATAACAGTATAACGATGTTCAGCAGATTATGAGCTTTCAAATGATACCTCAAGGCATACTTTGCACAAAATAAAACATAATCAAATAAAAGTGCTGAATATGGAATACAGAGTGCTATGGGGATACAGTGTGTCACAGTAATGTCTTACATTCTTTATGTATCCCAATTCATTAACTACTCATCAAATTCTTAATTAATAGCTTTTCTCTCCTGTTCATTAGATAAGGAATACACCTTTTTGATAATTTGCATTTGTAGACTGCTGTTCAACTCAAGCAGACATAGGACTTCCTGTTCCACTACTCCAAACTCTACTGAAAAGTATCTGTTTTTATAAACAAGTGGGGCTGTGCCACTTTGGCTCCTTATAATCTACTCTGTGAAACAAGAACCCTGTTTCTCATCATGAACTTGTGTAGTTCTCCAACTGAACATTCATGAATGGATTTTGCTTTTGTGCATCATTTGTGCTTAGAGAATGCAATTACAAAATAGCTGTTTTATTACTTCCATGACACTGTACCTCTTGTGCTGTTTTATTACTTTTATGACACCTTTGCATTCCCTTGCAAATAAATTTAGTCTCTGCCATTTGTTTACACTTTGCCTAGATCTGTAATTAGATGCTCTTCAGTTCTTTCACTGCTTGTTAACCAGCAATTTAGGAAGCACAGTGTTCACTAGTCCTGAAAATATCCATGGTTCTTTATAACGTCAAGTCACTTTCTGGTAAGAACCTTACTTGTTCTAGTTATCAGTTACACCACAAATAATGCAACCTCTAATTAGTCCATCTATTAGCTGTTTAAATGCACAAGATTTAGCTTTAAGATATAGGTCTGTAACATAACAGTTGTTTCAACTGGCTGCTCGTTTAATGAGCAGAAAATGTATTATTGAAATTTTTGAATGGCTTTGTCTAGCTGCAGTTTGCAGTCACCAACAGTCTCCTTCTGGAATACATTGTAGATCCCCAGCACAGGATTTCACCTGAGTTCTCTGCCATACAAATTGCTTCCAGAAAATACTGAAAGTTCTGCAACCACTTCCTCCAGTTCTCTGTCAAGTTCCCTTCTACCCTGGGGGATTTCTGGTGGTTTAATTTGCACTATTTTCACAAAGATTAAATTTTCTTCTTCTAACATATAATAAAGGTGTGACACATGAATGTTGCTAATAGACTAACCCTTATTTCTTGGCTTCAGTCACCACTCACCAGACATGGGTCAGAGCTGCAAAAAATTAATACCTCTGCCACATGACAGGAGTATTAACCAAATCCAGCCTAATACACCATCCATTGAGCAGGAGGGTTAATGACAGTTGAATAGTTCTGATTTCACCCAGAAGGCCCAGTGATTCACATACTAAGTTAAGTTTATTGACAGTATAAATTATTTCACTGAGATAGTAATACTAACTACTACCACAAGAGGGCATTACAAGGTAAGATCAAAGAATAGTTAGACACAGGGTTAGATACTAACATATAGGACCATGATGAATGATGTTTTACACCAAATATAATATTTTATACCAAGTAAAGAAACAAATCCTTGTCCTAAAAAGGTTACAATCTAAACGAAATTTGTAACCCATGAGCTTTAGTTTGCACATGGTCACTAATTGAATAGGAGACCTCCAAATATAATGCTACTGGAGATGATGCTAGTGAGGCAGTACTTAACCAGTGCCCCAGCATGGCGTTAGGCTATAGCATAGTGCTGCAGATGCCTTCTCTCAGATTAGATAATTATTTGGGTTCAATACCCCAATGACACTTTTGGCTGAGTTTATCCCTAGTTTACCAGTAAACTTCTAACTCAGCTAATTACATTCTACTATTTAATTCCCTGCATTTTTAATTGGATATGTCTGTCTTCCATTCCAGTCCTAGATTCATCAACTGTGTCCCGCTGAACGGAGCTGTCCGCCACGGGAATTGAGACAAGCAATGCAGGAAGTGCGGTTATGCCAATGAGACAGTACCCCATGTCCTATGTAGCTGCAAGCCCCATTCCAGAGTCTAGCAGCTGCGCCACAACACCATCCAAGATTGACTAGTCAGAGCCATCCTGCCACCTTTGGGGAAGGTGGCTGTGAACTCTGCCATCCCCAGAATGGACAGCCAACTGCAACTGGACATCAACATCATCAACGAGGACCAAAAGAAGATCATCATGGTGGATGTCACAATGCCCTTTGAGAACAGGACCCCAGCTTTCCGCGAAGCCCGAGGTTGAAAGGTGGAGAAATATGCCCCTCAGGCCGACACCTTGAGAGCTAGGGGTTACCAGGTTCTAACTCACACTCTGATCATCAGAGCCCTGTGCACCTGGGACCCCAGGAAGGAGCGAGTGTTGAGAATGCAGAATTGGTGAATGCTATGCTCAGCTGATGCAACAATTCCTGGTGTCAGACACCATCAGGTAGTTGAGGGATATCTATCTAGAACACATCACCAGACAACGGCAATACCAGGAGAGATGAGCTGGAGTGCCAATGAGAAATAAAATCGGAAAGTAACAGAAATACTTCTCTGGTGGATTATATCTTCTAAGGGACAACCTATCCTAAATGCTCAATTACTGAGGGACAATCTACATTCATTCCTATATTTGCTCTCTACAACCAACTCTCTGTATAACTTTTCATGAGTGATGTACCCGAGTATTCAGATTCTAATATCTAAACTGTACCGTTAAATTTATTCACCTAAATTTAGGTTATTGCAGATTATGTACTAAAAGTATCTTATGACTTTTAAACCAGATTTTGTACTTTTGGGTAGTCGAAGCACTACACCCAGATGTACAGACACTCTTTCCTTAACCTGTGTATTATATAATTTTAACATTACAATATACTGTTGAAAGATGCCATGTATCACTCTAGATATGAGCAGTGATAGGTTAGTTAAGGGCTCACTTCCAATGTCTTACCTACATCACACGGGTGCTAAAGCCTACTGTTTGTAGAATACTTTGAGAACTTCAGAATGAAGGTGCTATAGAAACGCAAAGTATTCATCGTTACTATGTTACACTAGTTTCAGAGTAGCAGCCGTGTTAGTCTATATCCGCAAAAAGAACAGGAGTACTTGTGGCACCTTAGAGACTAACAAATTTATTAGAGCATAAGCTTTCGTGGGCTACAACCCATCCGAAGAAGTAGGCTGTAGCCCACGAAAGCTTATGCTCTAATAAATTTGTTAGTCTCTAAGGTGCCACAAGTACTCCTGTTCTTTTTAGGTTACACTAGTTTAGCTAATGTGTGATTCTGAGCTGTAATTCAAGTGAGTCTATAACAACGTGCACACTTACAAGTGCTCAAATACTATAGGGAAAATTGTGGCTCTTATTTAGCACACACTGATTTGCATGGGACCAGGATTTCACCTGATTATCTAGGTAGGTAGACAGATTAGACAAACATTATATGCCCGTGGGCACTATATCTATAATAATGAAAGACTGAGGTCTTGAGTTTTCTTCCTCACAATCCGTCCTGTTGTATATTCACTCTGAAAGCACGAAGGTCCTGCTCTAAGCAGTTCTGTCATTAGACCTACCACTAGCGCGCATTCAAAACACCGTGTCTGCCTAGTACTGCCGTACAGTCACCAGGTTTATTCAGCGTGTGCAGTACCCGTGGTCTGAGTCTGTCACTACAAGCACCTCTGCTCTGGGCGACCTGCTCACCCACTTGCCCAGGACGAGTCCTGCCTTTTTCTTTCACTGGCTGGGCGCGCAGAGATGGGGTTTGGGCTCGCTCTGCGGGTAGGGGAGAGGTGAGCAGTGGCCTGGCCGCCCGGGGCGATGGAGCACGGCGTTGAGGCGACCCAACGGTGCGTCGCCAGCTCCAGGACAAGCGGCGGCTCGGGTTAACCGGCCGCCCCGCGCCTCAGCGAAGAGCAGGGCGGAGCCTCTCCGCGGCGCCGGGCCAAAGGGCTGCCCAGGTGCATCACGGGAGTCGTAGCCCGCCCTCTGTCGCCGGTCCGCTAGGAGAGCACGGTGGGTGAAGCCGGCTGAGGAGAGGTGCATCATGGGAGTTGTAGTCCTCCGCCCGTCCTCCTCCCGGAGTGCACGGCAGAAAACTACAACTCCCAAAGGGCTCTGCTCCCCCGGCCTGGCGCTTTTAAATGACGGTTTGATGCCCGGGCTTCGAGAGGTGGCGGCGGTGGCCGGCTGGGTAGGAAAATGGCGGCAGCGAGGCTGAGCGGGGGCTGTGGAGGAGGCGGCGGGGAGAACCGCCTGGTGTCGCTGCCCCTCTCCCGGATCCGGGTGATCATGAAGAGCTCGCCGGAGGTCTCCAGCATCAACCAGGACGCGCTGTTCCTCACCGCGAAGGCCACGGTACCAGGCTCGGCTCTCCCGCCTCGGCGCTGGGCGGGGAGCAGCCCAGGCGGGCCCGGGGCCGAGCGGCTCCCCCCGCCGTCAGGCTAGGGCCGGGGCTGTTGCCCGGACGCCCAGGGCCTGAGCCGACGGGCTAGGCCCGAGTCCAGGCGAGATTCGTGCTCTTTGTGCTGGGTCCCTCCCCACCGCCACTGCCCGCTCCTGCCCCCGGGGCACGCGCAAGGGGCGCAGACCCTGCCTTAGACCAGTCTCTGGAAGCATCTGCCCTTGTCTGCTTGCCAGCCCTTGGAGGGTGCTTAAGGGAGGTAGGGTGACCAGACAGCAAGTGTAAAAAATCGGGACGGGGTGGGGGGTAATAGGAGCCTATATAAGAAAAAGACCCCAAAATCGGGACTGTCCCTATAAAATCGGGACATCTGGTCACCCTAAAGGGAGGTGGGGCAGGAGGGTGTAAATGAAGTAGTTTATACCAGTTCTCCAAAGAAGTGGAGGAGAGAGGTGAATTGTCCCGACTCTAGACTTTCGTATGTTCTCGCCTGGCATGTGGCAAAAATCTGCCTGTAGGGGCCTTTGCCATCCCCTCTCCTGCTTCTATTGAACATGGAGTATCTGGTAGATACAGCTGTGAGGCCTGTCTGTGCCCCCAGTTAGTGAGGAATCACTAATGTGCTGAGATTAGGTCACCAGCTCCTTCACGAGACCCTCAGATTTTGTCTTGATCTGGACTTCCACAAGCATCCCCAGAGGGGATCACGTGCACTTTTGGATGCTGCATGTGATGCTTTTCCAACCCCCTTCAGCAAAATAAAACTGACGAGGCACAGGAGATTTAGTTGAAAATCTCTATGCACCTCCTGTGAATACAGCCAGCGAAAGCAGCATGTGTAGAAGCTGCCCAAATGGGATTATCTGCTTAGCTACTGAACTGCAAGGATCCTGCATCACATATTAATGTCTGAATTTTGACATTGTTTCAGTTCTCGAAATTGTTAGATCATTGAAAAGCTCTAATAAGACCAGCACATGATCCAGTTGACCATATATGTTCCTGGCTATAGCCATGGAATACAGCATTAAACTTTGCACTCCCACTAAGGCCTAGTCTACACTACAGCATTAGGTTGACATAAGGCAATTTATGTCTATCTAATTATTTCAGTCTATACCAGGGGTTCTCAAACGGTGGGTCATGACCCCTTGGGGGTTGCGAGGCTATTACGTGGGGGGGTTGTGAGCTGTCAGGCTCCACCCCAAACCCCGCTTCACCTCCAGCATTTATAATAGTGTTAAATATATTTTAAAAAGTGTTTTTAATTTATGAGGGGAGGGTCCCACTTAGAGGCTTGCTGTGTGAAAGGGATCACCAATACAAAAGTTTGAGAACCACTGGTCTATACAGTACCGCCTTACTCTCACCAACGGAAGTGCCCTACTACACCGACATAACTCCACCTCTACGAGAGGCATAGGGCTTATGTCTGTGTAGTTAGGGCGACAATGTCCCTGTAGTGTAGACACTGTTACTTACATCTACTGGCTGTCATTCTTGTCAATTTCATGGCTCCAGCAGAGCCATAAAATTGACAAGAAAGCGGGCTTCCCAGGTGGGCAGTAGCACTTGGGTTCCTGCTAGGAGCACAGCTGTGCACAGCAGGAAGCTCTATCCCCAGAGTCTGGTTGGCTGCCCCGTTCAGGTGGGGAGTTGAGGGGGGAGGGCAACTGGCAGGGAGCTACATGCGGAGCTGAGATCCCTGGCTCTCAGCCTCCTGTACTGCCCCTCTTAAGTCGAAGAAGTGGGCTGTAGCCCACGAAAGCTTATGCTCTAATAAATTTGTTAGTCTTTAAGGTGCCACAAGTACTCCTGTTCTTTTTGCGGATACAGACTAACAGGGCTGCTACTCTGAAACTTCTTAAGTCAGTGGAAGTGCTCCTGGTGATGATGCACACCACTGACAGAAGGGCAGTGTGAATATGAATCACCGTAGTAATTACTGCGGTGGTTCAAGTTGACCTAACATGGGTTGACTTAAGTTTATAGGGTAGACATGCCCTAAGATAAAGCTCTGGGAATAGAGATAAGGCTTTCATTCAGTGGACGTGGCCTCTCCATGAGTGATGGACTTACATTTAGTATAAATCAACCTGGCTGGCTGTCTCTGTTTCTTTTAATGGGGGAGGAGTGTTTTTATCATTATAAGTAGTGGAAAGTGGCAAGCTTTTTTGCAATATTTAATCACATACCTGCAGAAATAATTTCTTGCTGTTTTCTGATCCCAGTAAAGTCTGCTGCAGTGATGACGAATTTTGATTGAGTGGCACAAATTAAGTGTTGGTCTAAGACCCCAGTTTTGCAGTTGGCTACTTGCAGATGTACACCTCTTCTGCTCACACAGAGCCAGATTGAAATTAGTGGGACTCTGTGTAGGTGCAGGGCAGTGGTTGCATGCAGTTAATGGCAGGATTGGGCCCTAAATAAGGGCTTGAAGAAGCATTGCAGTCAGCTTCACCCACAGGAATTAATAATTTGACATTTCTTTGTGTTGATTTTTATAGGAGCTCTTTGTCCAGTATTTAGCCACTTACTCCTACAAACATGGCCGTGGGAAAGAGAAGAGAGCCCTAACCTACAGTGACCTATCCCATACAGCAGAGGAATCTGAAACGTTTCAGTTCCTTGCTGGTAGGTATGGCAGTTGTGGCAAATCAATATGGGCAACTGGAAAATAAGATGCAGCTCTTACTGTAGCAGTAGCTGTCATTGCAAAGCTATTAAATTCTTTTTGGCTGTTAACCTCTGTTGCATTTAACTTACTCATGGTCCAAATAATTGACAGGCATTCTGCATGAATGAATAGGCTGCTTTTTTCATTGATGCAAAAATACACAGTCATGGGACAAAATTATTGTAACAGTCATACTTGACATTCCAATAACTTCAAGCTACTTTTTTCTTAACACCGTTTAACAGTAACCCTGAGTGGTGGAGAGTGTCCCTACTTTATAAATGGGAAAGCTCAGGTTCAGTGTGATTAAAGTGACTTTAAAGTCCGTTTTAAGAGCTAGGAATAAAACCAAGGAGGTATGTGACTCCCATCTTCTGCTTTAATCAATAAACAACACCAGGGCTGGCTCCAGGCACCAGCAGAGGAAGCACGTGCCTGGGGCGGCACATGGTAAGGGGCGGCACAGTCTGGGTGGCGTTTTTGTTTTTGTTTTTTTGATTTTTGCTTGGGGCAGCAAAAATGATAGAGCCGGCCCTGGACAACACTCCCTTAAATCTTTGTAGTGTTTGGTGAAGGAGAAGAAGGATTTTATGAAACGTCACCAGAACTCTATATCGGTGAATTTTAAATTCACAAATGTCCTTTCAGACATTGGTTTATGCCACAATCGCTGTTGTCTTAAATCCTTTACATTGATTGGGCATTTAGAATAATGCTTGTCCTCTTCAAATAAATTCTTTGGTCTAAGAAGTGAGACCTTCTTGTTCATAAAATTTTTTTACTAGCGCATCAGCCCCACTTGTGGCACCTTTTAGCAATATTTCCTTACTATTCTTGGGCTCGTCACGATATCATTACTCTGAACAGGCAGCCTACATTGAGTATAGGGAAATAGTTTGTAAGGAATGTAAGTAAGAGTAGATATACTTAAGATATACTTGATCAGTTCAAGTGAAAAGCAAAGCAGAATAAGTGAGTAAGACTTAAGAAATGATTAAATCAGCATAAGAATCACTTAAACAAATTCCCTCATATGGCTCACTGATACCTTAATCTGACAATATCTCCCTAATATCACATTGGCTACATTCCTATTCCAAGGATACCAGTTAAATTAGAATAACCTGACTATTCCCTAGCCTAAAAAAATTGCATCCCATAGACTGTGAGGCTATTAGTTGCTATGATCTTGATGGTACAGTAATAAATTATTCTAAATCTTTTTTGTAGCTGTTGAAATTGATTACAAAAGAAGGAATTGTGCCTTTCAGATATTTTACCAAAGAAGATCCTAGCTAGCAAATACCTGAAAATGCTTGAAAGAGAGAAGAGGGATGGAGAGATGGAGGAAGATGATGACGATGACCAAGAGGAAGAGAGTGAGGAGGAAGATGCTGAATCTTAAGGGTGTCAAACAGTTAGCTTTATAGCTAGTTTCTTCCTGCAGTATAAAGTATTGATTGGCTCCCGGATTTTTTCCAAGCTAACCCACACTGTTGCGTTGGGGGAAGGGGGGGGTGTTGGGAATCCAGCAGCTGGATTTACCTATCTGTTTGAGAGTTGCTGTCTTGTTTACTTTCAATTTGAAACAATTGGATATTAGTCTGCTTGAAGGAAGGAATCCTGCCCTTGGATATGGAAAGCCAGGGGAACTGTACATACAGATCTTGAGACAGAATCAGCTCAAATTATTTTAAAATGACTTCTTCAGACAATCATTATCCAAATAGAAACAGCCTTGTAGGCAACCCTCAGCATCAATTCCAAAGGCCCTGGCTCCCTCTGGCTAGATGAGACTCCTCTTGTAGCTAATACTTCTGCTTAACCAGTAGGGGTGTGGCACATACTTTATCCACAGTTCTTACTCTCTGGCAGCCAATGAACCAAGCCCGAGAGAGAATCTCCACCTGTTTTCTAGCATGCTGTTCGAGCGATACCTGTGGACCAACCCCACAGAAACTGTAATATGGCTACTGTTGTAATACAGTCTAAATAACCAAGTCTGCAAGGAATCTGGATACAGGGATAGACCTTTTGCAATCCCTGGTGTCGCTCTGCAGCTGTATTGGTGCTAAGAAGTAGAAGTGTTAGCTAATGATGTAAATATGTATATCTAGTTTTCCCACCCACTCACCCAGGGAGGATTCTACTTTTGTAGTTTACTGTCTGTAGTACTCTACCTACCAACACCTGTTTGAAGTTTATTAAATATAGATTGCTCTATGGCAAGAAAATGAACAGTTTTTACCATTTGAGTGGGAGACCTGGCATATTTTTACTACTATAAAAATGGAAAATGTCCTGTGTGTATTTTTTAAAAAGTACTTTTTTACAATAAATATTTTTTTTAAATGTGGAAATTAATGCAGAGACCCTTGACAACGTTTTTTTATAAAGGCTTTTAACTTCTGCTTTGTACAGGGTTAACATGTTGTTGGGCCAAACATTCCCACTATATATTTATAAATGGGGATCCTCCTAGCTAGCAAATAGGGGATGAGTGGTGATCTGCCACCCACTAGAAATGTAAGTGTGAAAGATCCCTAATCCCAACTTGCGTTGGGGGCTGAATATAGTATGTTCAGGGGAAATGGAGCCTGTGTTAGTCACGGTGTCTCTGTGTGAACATTAGCTGTAATGTATGCACGTAGCCTTCCAGTCTCTCTCAACTGCTCTGAGAGCATCTTGGAAGTGATGTCTCTTTTCAGTTTACACAAGCTACTGCACAAGTAATAGATCAGGTTGATTTAGATCTCCATTCAGGAAAAGAGCTTAGGTGGTTAGGCCACTCATGACACCCCCCTCCCCTCCACAACAAATAGAGGATCCTGATTGGTGACAGCCCCACCTGCAGAGATGAAAGGGTAACAGGGGAGAGAGTTATGGAGGAGACTGAGGGAGGAGGAGCCAGCACTTGTATGCTTGCCAAATGTTAGAGGCCTGCCTAGCATCAGTTTGGAGGAATAAAGGAAAAGGTGCAAGCAAAGATTTGGTTCCTTCCTGTTTTTAAAAAAAACCCTCAAAAGGGCATGTAGAAGAATGGGTGGATGGATGCTGCTTAATTCAGCACCTTTCTGTTTACTGTCAGGTTTTCAGTTCAGATATTTGGGTCCCCAACGTTCTTGCCCCCGGTGCCCCTTTCTACTTCCCAGAGTGATACTTTAGTTTAATCTGTGATTTTTCTCCTTTTAGTGGAAATGTATTGCTACATTTTAATTATAACAGGTGTGAAAACTTTCTTTACCCATCTCTAAAAAGTAATTAACAGTAGGTTTTAGGATAAAGAAAATATAGTTTGTAACAGATCAATGGTACAAATACACTAAGGGCATATCTACACTTCATAGTTAAGTTGACATCCAGGGCCTTAGTAATTAAGTTGGTCCCCACTGTCCACACCCCACTCACTGTCAGTGGAGTGCATCCTCACTAGCAGTGCTTGCATGATGCACACATCAGCGCACCATGGGTAGCTATCCCACAAGGCAATTAACCCTAGGGGTTTTGGGGAGGGGCTTGCAATGCCTCATAGGACCCAAACATTGTCACAGGGGGGAATGGGAAGATAGCTTTGACCTCCTCCCTCCATCCCTTCCCAGATATCAAAGGCAAACCCATGTTTTTTCACACCTTTTTTTTTGAAAGCCTGGCTTCGTGGTGTGTATGCCTATAGCCCAAGAAACATGGACCCCCCTCAACTGTATGCTGCTTGTGAATATTACAACCCCCTCGTACCTTATCCTGTAGTATTTCCAGAGCCAAGACGGGCTGCCAGTGGATCATTGCAATGTCATTCAAGCAACCCTGCTGCAAGCCATAGAATGAAACAATTGCTCCTGGCAGTTGTGCAGCAGCTGAACACGGTGTAGCGCCATTTCTGGTCCTGGGAAACAGCACTGACTGGTGGGATTGCATCATATGGGATGACAAGCAGTGGGTGCGGAACTTTCACATGTGGAAGGCCACTTTTCAGAAACTTTGTGCAGAGCTTTCCCCAGCCCTGAAGTGCAGCAACACTAAAATGAGACCTGCTTTGACAGTGGAGAAGCAAGTGGCGATCGTGCTGTGGAAACTTGCAATACCAGACTGCTACTGGCTTGGGGAATCAATTCAGAATTGGTAAAGCTACCGTGGGAGCATTTGTGAGCTAAGGGCTGGTCTACACCCAGCCGCTAGTTCGGCGGCTGGGGATCGAAGTTCTGGGTTCGACTTATCGCGTCTGGTCTGAACGCGATAAGTCGAACCAGGAAGTGCTCGCCGTCGACTGCGGTACTCCAGCTCGGCGAGAGGAGTACCGCAGAGTCGACGGGGAGCCTGCCTGCCGCGTGTGGACCGCGTCTGAACCGCGGTAAGTTCGAAGTAAGGTATGTCGACTTCAGCTACGTTATTCACGTAGCTGAAGTTGCGTACCTTAGTTCGACTTGGGGGGTTAGTGTAGACCAGGCCTAAGTGTGCAGGGCCATTAATTCCTGCTAAGAAGGGTAGTGACTCGGCAACGTGCAGGATATAGTAGATGATTTTGCCACAATGGGGTTCCCTAACTGCAGTGGGGCGATAGATGGCATGCATATCCCTATCTTGGCACCAGGCCACGTTGCCAAAGAGTACATAAACATTGAGGGATACTTTTCAATGTTGCAAGTGCTGGTGGATCACATGGGGCGTTTCACGGACATCAATGTGGGACAGTCAGGAAAGGTGAATGACACACGCATCTTTAGGAACACAGGTCTGTTCAGAAAGCTGCAATGGGGGACTTTCTTTCCCGGTCACAAAATAACCATTGATAATGTTGAAATGCCAATAGTGATCTTGTGAGACCCAGCCTACTCCTTGTTTCCATGGCTTGTGAAGCTATACACCAGCCACCTGGACAGCAGTAAGGATCGGTTCAACAATAGGCTGAGCAAGTGTAGAATGGTGATGGAATGTGCCATTGGATGTTTAAAGGATCGCTGGTGCAGTTTGCTTATTAGGTTATCCCTCAGTGAAAGCAACATCCCCATTGTTATCGCTTCCTGCTGTGTGCTCCATAATATCTGTGAGGCAAAGGGAGAGAAGTTTCTGTAGGGGTGAGTTGTGGAGATGAATAGGTTGGCAGTTAGTTTTGAGCAGCCAGATACCAGCGCAATAAAAAGAGCCCAGTGAGGAGTTCTGCATCTCTGGGAGTCTTTAAAAACCCATTTCAGTAATGAGCCACAGTAATGTGTGTTGCTTAGCTGCGCTGTGCCTCGGATACCATCCCCTCCGTTGCATCAGTTTCTCTGTGCTGCTCCCCCCCCCCCCAATCTGCATGCTTGGAATAAATAAAGAGTATTTCATTCTTGAAACAATTGACTTTTATTGCACAAACATAAAGCAACTGAAAGAACAGGAAATAATTTAACTTTGGGCAAATGGTGTGATAAAACTGGGAGGGGAGAAAGCAGGTCAGCTTGTTTGCGAAACCACGGAAAACTTGCCCATCAAAAGATTTTGAATGCCTGCCTTTTGTTCTTCCTACCCTCCCCCGGTGTTGAGTGGAAGGGATAATGCACCCCCACCTCCTGGAGCGTTTGGGGAAGGGGGATTGTGAACAGTTTGATGTTTGCAGGCCATTGTGCAGGGGTTGCAGAGGGAGTCTAAGCTCAAGCTGTTTTTCTTGAAGCGCAACCAGACACCTCAAAGTGTCTGGTCCTTCATAATCTGCAGCATCTTCTCCTGCATGGCACACTCATGCTCCTTGGATGCTCTCCTGATCTCCATGTCCAGTTTTTCAACCTATGAAATCCTCCAGGCTCTGAGCTCTGTATCAGCTGTCACAGAGGCATTCATTATCTCATTGAACATGTCATCATGTGTTCTCTTTTTCTGCCTTCTAATCTGCAAAAGCCTCTCCACCGATGTGGAGGATGTGCTGGAGGCCAAGCTTTCCACTGGAAGGCATGCCAAAGCACAAGTCAACCATTGTGAGTGCATACCCTGGGTCTAGTGCAAGATTGCTATTTAATAAAACACGCCCCTTATTACACTCAAGTGCAAGCCAGAACATAATCAGAATCCCTAGCTATTCAACTAATCGGTTTGCTGTTCCAGCCATGGTGAGTATGGCTTAGCGACATGGACAATGGGGATTGTGCTACAACTTGTAAGAAACCTGCATCAGGTGCACAGATGGTCAGGTGGACCATGCCCCCTCCTCTAGCAAAATGGACATTGCTTTGAGACCAGGTACCAGCATTAAGCCTCCCAAATTGTGGTCTTTGGCCAAAGCGGCTCGCAGGGGGAGGGCGGGGGTTGCAGCCATGAGAGAACACTGGAAGCCCACCACACCCTTCCCGTAATGCTGCTGGTAGCAGTCACCTTAGGCTTGCAGATGCTGAGGTCAATGTCCTCATTGTTGCCTGAGGTGGCCCTGGACTCAAACTCCTGTGAGGTATCCATGCTGTGTTTGGTGTTAGTGGTTGGGTTACCAATGAGAATCGCATGCAGTTCATTGTAGAAGCAGCATGTCTGTGGTGCAGAATCAGCGTGAGTGTTTGCCTCCCTTGGCTTCTGGTATGCCTGCCGAAGTTCTTTGCTTTTCATGTGGCATTGCTGCGTCCCTGGGGTAGCCCTTTTCCTCCCATGCCCTAATGATCTTTTCATAGATGTCTACGTTTCTTTGGCTGGATCAGAGCTGTGCTGGCGCAGTCTCTTCTCCCCACAGACCAAGAAGATCCACCACCTCCTGTGTATTCCAGACTGGAGCGTGTTTGGGACATTGAGTCACCATGATCAGCTGGGCTGGCAAACACTCCATGCTGATCGAACAGGAAATGGGAATAGGACAGTTACCTGTTCCGTAACTGGCGTTCTTCGAGATGTGTTGCTCCTGTCTATTCCACAGTAGGTGTGCGTGCTCGCCACATGCACCGGTGCCGGAAGTTTTTCCCTTAGCAGTACCCGTACTGGGGGAGCACCGCTGCGACCCCTGGAGTGGCGCCTGTATATCGCACTATAAGGGGAGCTACAGGGCCCCTCCCTCGGTTCCTTCTTGCCGGATAACTCCAACAGAGGGGAAGGAGGGCGAGGTGTGGAATAGACAGAAGCAACACATCTCGAAGAACGCCAGTTACGGAACAGGTAACTGTCCTTTCTTCTTCGAGTGATTGCTCCTGTGTATTCCACAGTAGGTGATTCCAAGCAATATCTGTTGGAGGTGGGTAGGAGTTCACGGTGGTTCGGGACAAAGTACCGCCCTGCCGAACCCAGCATCATCCCTAGACTGGGAGATGCTCGCGTAATGCGAAGTAAATGTGTGAACTGAGGCCCACGTGGCCGCCCTAAAAATGTCCTCGATGGGGATATGGGCGACATAGGCAGCTGATGAGGCCTGAGCCCTCGTAGAGTGTGCCC